CAATTGGGCAGGGAGTAAACAAACACAGTAGCGTCTCTTCAGAAGGCAGGAATTCGTGAATTGCAAGTAAGCGCTTAAAAACAGTTTAACACTTTCAGAAAGAAAGATTTATTACTAAAAAAGTCAAACAGGTGCAATAAAATATTTACAAAGAGATGTCACGAAAAAATATATATATGTATATAAAGATACAGCAAAGAGATAATAGGAAGGAAATTACAGGGCTAAGTTACTTGCCAATTTAAGCCTTGGTTTGTAAGCAGATACACGGTGCAGAGCAGGAAGGTTCTTTGATCTCCTCCTTGGATGTTAGCTGGGAGATCTGTGTTAAGCTCTAACTTCCAGGCTTGCTAGCCTGTCTCTCTTTTAAAAATCCCTCTGAAAGGGGCGTTGCTCTGACTACGCTGTGTTGGGAGGGGTCAGGGGAACTCTGAATTAAACTAAGCTTCATACTCCATGATATGAAACATACAGTTGACCTGAGGAATGTTCAATTACTGCTGGTCAGTTTTATGATGTGTAGGTGAGAAAGGTTACATTTTCGCAGACGGCTGGCACTAAACTAGGAATGCCTAGCCTGTGGTTGACCCCCCCATCTGTCAGGAGATAAGTTTTGTCTCTCAGGAAGGGAGGGGGTAGGGAATGAAGGCTGAGGAATACTCCACTAAAAGAAAAGAAAAAGGGGAACTTCGCGTCCAACTCTAATGAGCAAGTTTGCTACAGGTAGGTGCAGCGTGGTGCAGCGGCAGAAATCGCTCAGTCCCAGTGCAGAGAATCAGAAATATATTGTAACTGAAGATTGACAATACAGACCAGGCCCAGCGAGAAGAAAACCTGACCGGGAACACTCACAGCATGTAACAGCATTGTGTCAGATGTGCGAAATGCAGTCTTGTTGGCCTGTAAGCAAGTGGGGAGGCTTCCAGATAGGATGGCGTGTCCCTGCACCTTCCCTTTTATTCTGAATCCTCTCCCTGATGCTAAGCACTTTCGCTGCCAGATGGGTAACCTGTCCCTACTCTAACCACACACGAAATGTGTGTCAAGCCAGGGAGCCAGGGTCTTAAATAGAATCTGCCTGACCCAAGATGGCCTCCAGAGTCACATGGGTCACCAGCATCCAATCAGATAGCTGCCCCCTGTGACCCAGAAAACCATCTGTGACCTAGAAAACCATAGGGGAACTAATTTCCTCTTGACGTCCTCACTTTCTGACATGTCACTGCAGTTGTACACCCCCTGCAGGGGAGAAAGAAGACTGACCTACAGGCCCATATATGCGGTTTCTCCTTCCCTGTCCAATCACAAGTTTGGGGGCAGTGTAAATGCTTGTGACAAAATAGTACAAATAAAAAGTGTCATGTGTCTAGCACTACCCTCGTAAGGGCCGCTGGACTTGATTGGGTCCCCCTAAGCTTTGCATGGCCAGGTAACACACATTTTTCCACACTTGTACTTTCAGAGTCAGTAAAACAGTCCTTGAGCTGTTTTCTTTTCGTTGTTTTTATTACCGTATTTTTCACTTCATAAGACACACTTTTTTCCCCACCAAAAAATGGGGGGAAATGTCTGTATGTCTTATGGAGCAAATATTGATCAGGCCTCCTCCCCCCATCACTGCCGCCGTGTTAGAGTACCGGACCAGCCAGCAGGGAGGGGGCAGGGACAGGTCCGGAAGCTCCATTGACCCCGCCCCATGCAGCCTGTTGGCTCGAGAAGGAGCTGCTGTAGTAGAAGTTGTGATGTGAGTGGGAGCCCCGCCCCCCGATCTCAGAGAGGATGCTGAGCATGGCTGGCCAGGTATGTCTATGGGGGGCATAGACTGCCTGTGGACTGTTATACCAACCCTGAGCTGTTTTTCACAAACTGTACATCTGTGCATTGCTGAAAGAATTCTATTCATCCCCTGTAATATGTCCACAGTCTCTGGTCATCCGCTGTACTATGTCCGCAGTCTCTGGTCATCCCCTGTACTATGTCCGCAGTCTCTGGTCATCCCCTGTACTATGTCCGCAGTCTCTGGTCATCTCCTGTACTATGTCCGAAGTCTCTGGTCATCTCCTGTACTATGTCCGCAGTCTCTGGTCATCCCCTGTACTGTGTCCGCAGTCTCTGGTCATCTCCTGTACTGTGTCCGCAGTCTCTGGTCATCTCCTGTACTGTGTCCACAGTCTCTGGTCATTTCCTGTACTATGTCCGCAGTCTCTGGTCATCCGCTGTACTATGTCCGCAGTCTCTGGTCATCTCCTGTACTGTGTCCGCAGTCTCTGGTCATCCGCTGTACTATGTCCGCAGTCTCTGGTCATCTCCTGTACTATGTCCGCAGTCTCTGGTCATCTCCTGTACTATGTCTGCAGTCTCTGGTCATCTCCTGTACTGTGTCCGCAGTCTCTGGTCATCTCCTGTACTGTGTCCGCAGTCTCTGGTCATCTCCTGTACTGTGTCCGCAGTCCCTGGTCATCTCCTGTACTGTGTACGCAGTCTCTGGTCATCTCCTGTACTATGTCCGCAGTCTCTGGTCATCTCCTGTACTGTGTCCGCAGTCTCTGGTCATCTCCTGTACTGTGTACGCAGTCTCTGGTCATCTCCTGTACTATGTCCGCAGTCTCTGGTCATCTCCTGTACTGTGTCCGCAGTCTCTGGTCATCTCCTGTACTGTGTCCGCAGTCTCTGGTCATCTCCTGTACTATGTCCGCAGTCTCTGGTCATCTCCTGTACTATGTCCGCAGTCTCTGGTCATCTCCTGTACTATGTCTGTAGTCTCTGGTAATCTCCTGTACTATGTCTGCAGTCTCTGGTCATCTCCTGTACAATGTCCACAGTCTCTGGTCATCTCCTGTACAATGTCTGCAGTCTCTGATCATCTGCTAAAGTATGTCCGCAGTCTCTGGTCATCACCTGTCATACATCCACAGTCTCCGGTCATCTCCTGTACTATGTCTGCAATCTCTGGTCATCTCCTGTAGTACCTTCGCAGTCTCTGGTCATCTCCTGTCATACATCCACAGTCTCTGGTCATCTCCTGTACTATGTCTGTAGTCTCTGGTAATCTCCTGTACTATGTCCGCAGTCTCTGACCATCTCCTGTACTATGTCTGTAGTCTCCGGTCATCTCCTGTACTATGTCTGCAGTCTCTGGTCATCTCCTGTAGTACATTCGCAGTCTCTGGTCATCTCCTGTACTATGTCTGTAGTCTCTGGTCATCTTCTGTACTGTGTTCACAGTCTCTGGTCATCGCTTATACTATGTCTGTAGTCTGTGGTCATCTCCTGTACTATGTCTGTAGTCTTGGTTCAGTTTTTTTTTTTCTTGTTTTCCTCCTCTAAAACCTAGGTGCGTCTTATGGTCAGGTGTGTCTTATGGAACAAAAAATATGGTAAGTGGTTAATGACTTGAATGGGTCTAGAGGCATATGGGATGCCCAAGGAACTGTAGAACATGACGATGAATTTCTTAGCATCTATGTACAAAAAAAAAGGTGGACTAGCAAAAAATATAGCGCTGACCATTTTTCTTGGTGTACCTCCTCAGACCCTGGATAAAACCTCCTCTTCACTTAGCTGTGCTGAGGGTATCCCAGAGCAAGGGGGTCCCAAGAGCTTGTGGTTAAGCAGTCCCAGGTAAAGACTAGTTGGGTGCTGCACCTGACCACCCTCTCCCCTTATCCAGCCCAAGGGGTGTAAGAGTACACACATTATCCTTGCCTGCTAGTGTGGTCGGTTGGTGGCTGCCTTCAGGCCATACGCTGGTTTGGTTCCTTCCCTGCTAACAGGTTGTCCTCCCAAGGAGGCATTGAGGCAGTAGAGATCTTCCTGTCCAGCATCCTACCTGTAGGTAGGCTCCCCTCCCTGGGGCCCCCTCCCAGGCTCCATATTCCAGCCTTCTCTCAATCCATCTTCCACCTGATTCCCCTTTCTCCCCAGGCTCTGTCATATTTGAGGGTTACCCTGGTCATCATGCCCAGCCTCCTGCCAGGGGATTGACCAATGACCCTCAAACATGCAGATCTGGTGCTCCTTCCCTCCTCCTCCCCTGTTCCAGAAAGTTATCTAATTTCTGGAAGTGTGGGAGGGCTCCTGGAGCCCTGACCTGTAGAACCTCCTAGCCTGTCCTGAGGTGATTTCCTGCCTCACTCCCAGGCTTTCTCATCATAGGCTGCTATTCAGCTTCCACCCCCAAAAAAAAACAAAAAAGAATACAACAAAACCTATCTAGCAAAGCTGGAGGGCGTTACATGTGCGTTGCACAAGGTGGGTCTTTTGGCTGGTATTGAATAAAAGGTAAGTTTATACATCATGATGATAGATTAAAGATTTAGTCTTTCCCTTTTAGTAATAACATGAGATGCAAGTATTTTTCCAGGCTGATGGATTTCCACTAGATATCAAATAGTTGGGGTTTTTTAAAATGGCGGTGCGCAATAACAAAACACCAATTAAGTGAACAAAAAAGGTGGATGTGAAAAACAACCACAAAAAGGTACATCGAACCATTTGCCTATTGGGCACTTTCACCCCCTTCCTGCCCAGGCCAATTTTCAGCTTTCAGCACTGTCGCACTATGAATGACAATTGCGCGGTCATGCAACACTGTACCCAGACAAAAGTTTATCTTTTTTTGAGACATACAGATCTTTCTTTTGATGGTATTTAATCACCATTGGGTTTTTGTATTTTTTGCTAAAGAAACTAAAAAAGACTGAAAATTTAGGGGAAAAAAAGGGTTTTCTTAGTTTCTGTTATAAAATTTTTCAAATAAGTATTTTTTCTCCTTCACTGATGTGCGCTAATGAGACTGCAGTGATGGCACTGATTGGCGGCACTAATGAGGAGGCACTGATAGGTGGCATTGATGGGCACTGACAGGCATCACTGGTGGTCACTGACAGGCATCACTGATGGGCACTGAAAGGCAGCACTAACATATGGCACTGATAGGTGTCACTGACTGGCACTAATAGGCGTCACTGATTGGAACTGTTAGGCGGCACTGATGGGCACTGATAGGCGGCACTGACTGGCACTGATAGGTGGCACTGGTTGGCGGCACTGATAGGCTTCACTAACTGACACTTATAGGCATCACTGTCTGGCACTGATAGGCGGTACTGAAAGGCAGCTCTGATGGGCACTGATATGTGGCATTGATGGGCACTGGTATGTAGCATTGATGAGCACTGACAGGTGTCACTGATTGGGCTTCACTGATCATCAGTGCCCTGATGATCAGTGTAGATGTCCCCACTGAGGATTGCTACTTACCGGCTCTCCTTTCCTCACGCGCTGTCATCGTGAGGAGAGGACTGCCGATAACTGTCATTTCCCTGTTTACATGCGATCAGCTGTGATTGGACACAGCTGATTACATAATAGAGCCTGTGTCATCGGCTCTTTATGGTGATCGGTGATTGGTGTCCCAGGGACACAGCGCACCACCCATCGCTGGGACTCGCATGGGCAGTTAGAATGGGAGGACGTCATATGACGTCCTCCCAGAACGAGAGAGCCACCTCCCGCCCATTATTTCCTTATATGTTTGGCGTAGGCAGTTAAGGGAGTGTCTCTAGTCAACCTTCAGAAGTAGGACCTTACCCTGACCACCCAGGGGCACAAGGCTCCTGACAGGGGCAAGGCTCACATTTCATCCACCTAGCCAAAAGGCCTGGTGGACCCCTCTCTTCATGGTCAGCCGAAGCTGACCACCGAGTACTAGGTGAGAGAGATCCCCCAGTTCAGGGGAGGAAGGAACCTGATGGCAACCCATTCACAGACCAAATAACCAGTACTGAAAATGAGAGTGTACTAGGCTGTCTTTTGTATGCGTTACTCCTACATTCTGTAATTACGCGCCATGCAATAAACCTTCATATTTAGGAGATTTCACCATCATCTTGGAGATTGAACCATAAAAGGATACGTGTTGCGTCTGCCCATATATGAGTAGTTAACATATGTTACTCCCTGCAGGAGGTTCTCTCAGTTGGATGAACTGAATTAACCTCCCTGGCGGTATTCCCGAGTGTAGCTCGGGGTAAAATTTCAGTACCAAAAGCGGTAACCCCGAGCTACACTCGGGCTTACCATGCGGCGTTGCATAGGGATTCCCTGCAGAGCTTACCTTGTTCTTCGCTCACGCGATGTGTCCCTTGCAGCGTCCCCGGCCATCTCCTCCGGCCGATGCCGGCATCCGGCTTCTGTGTTCCGGTCCCGGAGGCAAATTTGAAAATTTAAAAAAATTTCATTTTTTTCTAAACAAATTTTACATAGTAAAACTTCGCTGTTTCAAACCATTTCACATACATTTTGTCCCGAGTGCTTTGTCCTGCGCCCTGTCTGCATTTTTACTGTTCTTTCTGCCTGGAAACTTAGAAAAGTTCATGGCATCCAAAAAGCATCCCTTTAGGTCAAAAGCGGTTTTAGACCGGCTAGAGAACAGCGATAGTAAATCAGAACCACTTGCAGAATTGAGTGATAATGATTGGTGGGGGAAATTCATCATCAGACACTGAAAACGATTTTGCGACTTTGCTCAGTGATGTGCAAACTTGGCGATATATTTTAAATTTCAGTGTTTTTGGTTTGATTATATTATTGAATTACATTTATTATTATTATATTATTATTCTTTATGATTATTTATTAAATTATAATTTATGATTTCGTGTTTCAAATTTTATCCTACCCGGGATGTTTACTAGACTCTTGTTCGGACAGATTTCAGGGAGTTATTCCTAAAAATTACAGCCTACAATAAAAAAAATACATATTTCCATGCAAAATAATGGTACCGCTTTCAGCACCAAAAATCTGAAATAATCATACCGCCAGGGAGGTAAAAGATTGTTTAATATTTTGGCAAGTGCAGTTTAACCCTCATTTGCCTTGATGTGCAAATTGAAATTATGCGTCCCACAACTTGTCGATGTTGGTCATTTTTGCGCACAGAAACATATTTGTCAATATTTTAACTTCTACTCTCATATATTGAAAAATAATAATCCATTTATGATACCCTCGGCTTCATCACACCATAAGTGAAGTGATTTGAACGTAGAGAGATCTATCAAGGGTTACAAGAGCAGTGGTGGGAGGGAGTGAGGCCAGAGGAGAGCTATACAGTGCATCACCTCATTAGCTTGCTGGCACCACACTGTCTGGACACTGATGCTCCACTAGTTTCTATGTAAGGAGCCTGAGAAGATACTTGCACAAACTTTCAAGTTCTCCCACAGGACAGGCAAAAAGGAAAAATCCTGGATTTTTTTTCTAAAATTTTCCTGTGCTACCAGGGTAAGTTTGACATTTTTGCTAATAAACAGTGCTTGTGCTTCTGTTTTGTTTTTTGTTTTTTTTCGCTAATTCATATATTTGTTGTTATTATTATATCACCTACTGTATATTTGGCATATTTACATTTCCTTTTTTTATATTTATAATTTAAATATATAAATATAATTTAAATATGTTGTGCAATATTATTGCTATAAAAGTCACATTTATCCTAACTTATAATTATTTGTTAAAAGCAGTTTTAACATGTCACCTTGCTGTATGTATTATGTTTGTATGTATTTTATCATTACGGTTTCTGTGATGCATTATCTTTAAAAAAAAAAAATATGATGTTTTACAAAATTTGTCCTCAACCTTTTAAAATATTTGCCTGTAGTCTCTTCACTGTACATTGGTCACGCATAGGCCAATGTTTCATAACGTGCAGCAAAGATCTAAAAACTTCAAAGACTGCAAGTGAACACATATGTGATCATTTTGTGTGACTGCAAAGATTTTAGGTTTATTGTTTACACTCAACTAAACTTTATAAACAGTATAGAACCAAATTTCTTTTAGACTATAATCATTCTGTACTCCAAACTATTGTTTTGGTGAGATTCCTCAAAACCCGCCACCTTCAAGGAATGATTTATTTTTTTACAAATTTTAAATTCATTTCAACCAATATCTCCCATGCTTCTGCGATTACTTTTGTGTTTAGAATGATACAACTGAAATTCGTGTTTGTTGAGTCTTTCCTGGATTATAAGTATTCATTTTTTTCATTCTGGTTAGAATTAATTGTATGTCTAGTTTAGCTGGAAGCTCAGTCTAGCTTTTACAAGTCCAAGTTGTTAAAGCATGATTTATTAATGTATTATTTAAATATACGACGCAAGAAAGAAAACAGCTACCTACATGCATTATGCAAATAAGGTACAGATATTTTTTTTCTGTGGGCATTCTATGTAAAAGACCAAAAAATAAAATATTGATAATTTTATTTATATATATATATATATATACCTATATATATATATATATATATATATATATATATATATATATCTATATATAGATAGATAGATAGATAGATAGATATAGATATATAGATATATATAGATATATATATTTAAATGATTTCTTTATTATAATGTATTATATCAGCTAAATGGAGGATAATACGCTAAAACCGGAAAAAAGAAAAGCTACTTCTTACGGTAACCAATGAGACTTTTTATTGAACATAAAATGAAAGGTGAATTCTGATTGGTCATTATGGATAACAGCTATAAATAAACTTTAAGCAGTTAGTTCATGTTTTATACTGCTATACTGCAGGGTAAATGATGAACAATATTAAAACATTTAATGCAACAATTTATTTAACTGAACATTTAATGTAAAGGTAAACATACAAATAGGTGTTTTTCCACAAGCGTTTTTTATTCCTGCTGTAGTGGCATTATATTTGCGCCCAAAACAAAAAAAGATTGTGTTTAATGATCTGTCTTTTCTCCTGTATTTTGAGAATATGGAAAATAGCACCTTTTTTGTCAGTCAACTTTAGCAAAATTTCTGTGATTCTATGTATGTTACATTAGTAGTCCCTCTTCTATACTAGTTACCTCTGGTGTAATGAAGAATAATATTCTCCATAATGTAGAGCAATTGCCAACATTTTGTTGCACTTGTCATACAAAAAATATTGTACCTTAAGCATTTAAGTTTTTTTTTTTACTTTAAATATATGATTTTTTAATAATAAAACTGGTTTGGGCCTTGGGCTGGTGAAATGTGATTTGTCTTCTTTGCTTGAACATTAGGTACGTAAAACTTAATAAACTACAGTTATTTTAGCGAATAGTCTAGCATGAATGTCAAAACTAAACTTTTTTTTTTTTTTGGATAGAGCAGAAAAGGATTAGAATCCCTGTGTGGTTTTTACTACTATCTGGGGCTATGTTAGAAAGGTTACCCCTCACTTACTCCCCCAGGGAGAACAATTTCACATAACAGGAAGTGAGGGGAAACCTGCAATGGCCACACTTTTCCAAAGATGGAAGCTAAAGCTTGTTATTACAGTATTATTGTTATTATTATTATTATTATTACTAATATATTATTATACTGTCTTCTTTATAGTTCCCAAAACTATGTAATGTGAGGGCCTATATAAACATTCCAGGCAATTTAAATCCAGTCAGGCAGGCTATTACACTGCATAGTTGTTGGATTATCTAAATATACTCAATGTGTATAGTGAGCTTTATGTAACTTTTTTTTTTTGGAACTTGAATAATGGTAACATAGAAATTTGATTTTTTTTTTAGAAGAGATTTGATATCTCTTCTAAAAAAAAAAAATCAGCCGTGGCTGACTCCAGTTGATTAAAAAAAACCCTGTAAACAAAAATACAATAGCAAGTGATGAATTATATGAAAAAGAAAGTTTAAAAGTAGAAAAAAAAATTTCTAGTGAAATTTAGCAAGTTGTTTAGGATTAGTTACCACTTTCTGTGGACCATTGGTCCTAATTATTACCCATTGCTCCGAGCATTAGAATTTGTAGCAATTTCAATTAAAGGACCAACCAATTTGATTAATTAATTTTACTTGATTCATATTTAATTAATTATTGCTAATATCAGATTTAATAATGGTAAAAATAATATAATCATTTTTATTTACATTAGTGAATTTATTATTCCAAATCAGTGATCATTATTACCACTTCAACACATAACTTTTCTTTTACTTATGTGCAGCTTTTTTATTTATTTAAAAAAAAAAGATATGAAGTCGATAGCCTATGCTCTGTTCTCTCTATTTGATCAAAACAGTTACTTTTTTTAAAAAAAGTAAAGCCTTAATTAAATTAGGATAAAATATATACTGAAAACAAGGAACTTAAACAAAAAGTTGTGACATCAGTCCGCTCAAAATTGATATTTTAGTTTTTTGGGGTGTTTTTTTGTCTTTTTATTTTTCTTTTGCATTCTTTGATATTTTAGTTCTCTCTGGATACTGGTGAGCTGTATTGCCTACAAGCTTCTCATATCTTTCAGGTATTACAGCAGTTAGATATCCTCAGTGAA